TCGTTTCTGATTTCCAGCATATGCAGTCTTTTCGGTTTTTTATTTAACATCTTGATGATGTTGGGTGAGAGATGATTGTTGTTTTCACCTGTGAGACTTCACTCTTCTTTGCTAAGTACCACATCATCTTTTACAAACTACATGAAAGCTTCCTGGTGGTACAATGGCTTCAAATGCAAGGATTTAATTCCACCTGCTTTTAGCAGTCATAGTCATAGAATCATACAGCACAGAAACAGACCCTTCGGTCCAACCAGTCCATGCTAAACATAATTTCAAACTAGTGTCACCTGCCTGTTCTGGGCCTATATCCCTCCAAACCTTTCCTATTCATGTACTTATCTAAGTGTCTTTTAAATGTTGTAACTGTGCCCACATCCACCACTTGCTCAGGAAGTTCATTTGACATGCAAACCACCTGCTGTGTAAAAAAAAAATTGCCCCCATGTCTTTTTTTAAAATCCTTCTCCTCTCACGTTAAAATTCTGCCCCCTAGTCTTGAAATTCCCCATCCTAGGGAAAAGACACCTACCATTAATCCTATCTATAGCCCTCATGATTTTATAAAACTCTATAAAGGTCACCTCTCAACTTCCAGTGAAAAAAGTCCCTGCATATCCAAACTTTCTTTCTAACTCAAGCCTTCCATACCTGGCAACATCCTGTTAAATCTCTTCTGAACCATCTCTAGATTAATAATATCCTTTCTATCCTATGAAAACACCTTATTGTGCAGTTAAACTCTCTTATAAGTGATTGCCAAAAGTTGATACCTTTTCATAGGCAAATCCACATATTAAGTTACACATTTGGTCAGTTGTCCTTGACGGCAATCAACAGAGGACAATAAAGGTTAATGACAGATCGGATGATTGATCAGAATGTAAAGAATGGCAGAGACTAGCTGAAAGATTAAGTCAAGGGAAACAAATTAATATGCTAGGGAAGCTAGCCAGAAACTTAAAAATGAATAGCAGAGATTTTACAAGTATCTAAAAGGAAAAGAGTAAATAATGTGAATGCTGGTTCTCTCAAGAGTGAGCTTGGAGATTTAAAAATAGATGATAAGAAAATGGCAGAGTTAGAAGAACAATTATTTTGTTTGAGTCTTCAGTATAGAGAAGACAAATACATCCCAATAATCGGTGTAAATCAGGAGGTGGAATTAAGAGAAGAACTTTGTGAAATTAGAATCCCCAGTCCTTAGTAAATTGATCAAACATCAAGCTGACAATTCCATGGGCCCTGGTTTATTTCATTTATGGCATTTAAGAGCTATCAATAGTTGCAGATGATACAAAATAGGTGAGCAAATATGTTGCGAAGGGGACGTAAAGATGTTGCGGACTGATAGATGCCAGGAAGAAAAAAAAGCAGAGAATCACCTAAACAGAGAATGTTTGCAGAGTTTTGAAGTGCAAAGGGATTGAGATGTTCTGGTGCATGCAACAGAAAAAGCCAGCATTCATGTACAGCAGTTAACTATGAAAAGATTAAAAGGATTACAATGGTTTATGATGAGAGGAATTGAATAGACGCTTCAGTTATACAGGGCATTTACAGGACCACATCTCAAATACAGCATGCAGTTTGTTTCCTTATTTAAGACATGATGCAAATAGACTGGAGGCAGTTCAGAGGAGGTTTTATGTGATTAATACCAAGAATGATTGGGTCGTCTTATGAGGAAACAAGAAGTAGACTGAGCTTTTTCCCATGGGAGTTTAGAAAAATGAGGGATGATTTGATCGAAGTATGAGAGATCTTAAATGATCACGACAATGTGGATACGGAATTTTAGTGTCTTGTTGTTGGTGAGTCTTGAGCTAAGGAGACACTGTCTTAAAATGAGGGGTCACCCTTTCAGGACAGAGTAGAGACTTTTTGTGTGACTTTGGAACTCTCTACCTCAGAAGGTGATGGAGCTGGGGTCATTAAATATCTTTAAGGCACGAGCAGATAAATTTTTGTTAGTAAGGGAATCAAAAATTATTGGAGATAGATGGGAATCACAGAATTGTTACAGTACAGAAGGATGACAGTTGGCCCATGTGCTCTTCAACTGAGCATCATTACTGTGTGTAAAATTCCTGCTTTCTCTCCAAATCCATGCACACCATTTCTATCTAAATAATCATCCAATATGAAAATGTTTTTCCCACATCATCTATGGTGACTCCGCCGATACTGAAGCAGTCTATGTTCAAATACAACAAGATCTGACTTAGGTTAACAAGTGGCAAATAACATTCACACCACACAAATGCCAGGCAGACCATCTCCAATAAAAAAAAAATCTAACCACCCTTCCTTGACATTCAACGATGTTACCATTACTGAAACTCCCACTATCAAAATCCTGGGGGGTTACCATTGACCAGAAACTCAGTTGGACTTGACACATGAATACAGGAGCTTCAACAGCAGGTCAGAGGCTAGTAATGATGAACTCACCTCCTGACTCCCAAAGCCTGTCCACCATCTACAAGGCACAAGTCAGGAATGTGATGGAATACTCCCCACTTGCCTGGATGGGCGCAGCTCTAACAACACTCAAGAAGCTTGACACCATCCAGAACAGCTTTACTTGATTGGTAGCACATCCACAAGCATCCACTCCGTCCACCACTAACACTCAGTAGCAGCAATATTGAAGGCTGCAAGCTCCTCAAGCAGAAGATGCTGTTCATCCTTATGATGAGCCTGGTTGGAGCACTGCAGCAGGCCTGAGACAGAGATCTTGATCAGCAAGCATGGTGATGCTTTACAGTAGCAGGTAACTGGAAGCATAATTATAAATGTTAAAAGAACATTGCTGCTTTAAAAATCTGCATTGTAGGTGTTAGCAGTTATTTGAAGGTGGTGGTGCAAAGTCCCATGTAAAAAAAAAAACAGCTTTTTTTGGGACACTCCACAAAACTTGCACAACTTTACTGTTAACTGGATCATGGCAGACAGATATGAAAGCCATATACCTTGATTTGACTATATTGAATAGGTGTTGATGAAACAATGCTGCAAGATTTCAGATAGAACAATAGATTGGCGTTTCAGTAGAACTGTTTTTGACAGACGGCACCTAGGGTTGGCTCAAACAATAGGGAAAATTTGTGATGATGCTGTGGCTTTAAGAGGTTATTTCATCCTTTTTTGTTGAAGAGAGGTTTTAAGGCAGAGGTGCCAAGCAGTCTACCAGAACCACTACAGTAAACAGCTTTTAAGGCCTTGTTTTTTTTCCCCCAAAAGTTGGAACAATAGAAGCAGCCTGAAGAGGTGTGGTCAAACGTCCACAGAACTAGGATCTTTAGTTTAGCTTTCAGTAGAAGCTGCTGGGGTTGTGAAAAGCTGCCACGTCTCTCTTTGCTACAGTTGAACCCCGGAGTTCTTTCTCTCAGAATTGTCTTTTGATGTTTTCTCCTCCTGGACAGGAGAACTGCACGTGAGACAATCTGTTTTCTGAATTTACCTTTTGTGAAGGGTGTATTTATGAAATGTTGCTATACTGGAAACTTAATTAGTGACAATCACTGTATCCATTGTTCTCTTAAGTTTTCCAATAGAGTTGTTATTCCAATTTTATGTTTTTGTTGTATTTTAACTACAGTGGATGAATAAAGTGTGTTTTGCTTTAAATCCAGTAGTTTGACCAATTGAATCGCATCTGGAATGCAACACGTTACAATTACCTTTAAAATAAGAAAAAGTTAGTATCTAGACGATCTTCTGAATAGTCTGAGGGGGCTTGGTCTGGTCCATAACAAATTACAATACTCAATACTGCCTGTTGTAATACCTTTCCTGGGATGGAAACTCATTTACATGGAGTAACTGAATTATATTAATCACAATGCTGTAAAAAACTGGTGTATCTATACAGGAGGAATCTATATATTAGTTAACGTGCTAACATACTAAATGATAGTAAGCTACTACTTGGGAATGACTGGGGAACTGTCTTTAAAGGGGCCACTCAAATCAAAGGGGCTGGCACTCCAGAGACAATGTCAGCACAAGCAGCAGCAATCTTGGGAGCAAGAACAGCTTCAACCTCAGTTCGGCCAACTGTAATTGGGGTAGTATAAACTTCTTTACCATCTTGCATTCCAAAGCAGCTTTTAAACTAGTGAAAATATAGTAATTTAAGAACTGGAAGATTACTTGGGAAATTAAAGGGAAAGATGGGTTTCATAGATTTGCACGTGTATATCTTCTGTTTCAACGACAACATGTCTCATGGTAAACCACATCTCGTCATTACTGCAAAACGAGTCCCAGTCAGTAAATAAATAACACGTATGAAAACGACACTTACAGTTTTTACTTTGGTTGTGATAGAAACAGAATGGGAAAACCATTTGGATCTGTGATCATGAGGAAGACAATTCTAATGTATTAGTGTAGTTGAATTTATTTTCAAAGCAGAAACAAAAGATCAAAGAAAAAAGGTTAAAACTCCCAGGCCTAGGACATTACGTTGAGTTTCACAAGCTCAGACTGATCAGAAAGTCACAACTTCCCAGTGTGTGCTCAGTAAGTTAACCTCAACCAGGTAAAATCAGAAAATTTCAAAATGACCTAGTCAGCCTTATCAAGTGAGAAAACAAAACAATCTTTTCTGTTCTTTGTTCAGAAACTGATTTAGGGAAGTGGACGTCAGGCCAGGACAAAACTGAGCTCAAACTTGATAACACTTTGAACATATTGGTCTGCTAATACTTACTGACTTGGCTCACAGTTGAGCAAGTGTATGTAGTTCACAGAGAAAAAAAGTCAATCAAATAAGGAGACAACAGATACGGAAGAGATAAGGAGAGAAAAAAAGGTACAACATGAGAGAAAAGTGATCTCTGGAAATTAGGTGGCCTGTGGCACTGCTGAGACCCCAGTACAATTAAATGCTTTGCCAACAAATAAGTCATTTGCACAAAAGTGACACAAATTGAATTCAATGAGATTCAGAAGGAGAGTCTGAAGATCTGAACTAAGTAGTCATAAATGAGTAAGTTTGCATTAATGTTTATTTCTAATTACAATAAACAGAATATATCAGTCCCTTATTTATACAAAAATACCTGAACAGTTACAGTTAAGTTCACAAGCCTTACTGCTATTTACATGACGAAGCAAAGCATGTTATGAATGCAGATTTTCATTTAAAATGTTAATACCTTCAAGCATTCCCTGAAAAAAAGGTTTGCTGTATTCATTTCACAGCCATCAGTTTTTGCATTGTGTCAAATTTAATTTGTGATAAGCAAATCCTATCACTGAAAAAGGTGCATTGATTGGTCAAATGGTTGGTTAAATCTTCATGCAGTAGAGGAGCAGACCCATAAAAACTGAAGTGCATTATCTATTTTTAGTTTGATGAGTGAATTAGCTTGCTGTTAAATACAGATGCACAAATCAACACAGATGTTAAAAAACCAAATATGTTTGGTATATTCTGCTTAAGCCAAAGATGATACGCTACATCATAATTTTTTTCACAAGGTCAAGAAAAAAAATTAACAGGCTTCATCAACCCTGAGAGTCCCCTTTTGCTGTACATTCATATCACAAATACAAAAATAAAATATCATTGGCTTCTGTATTGACAGCCAGCTGAACCTGTTGGGCCCAGGCAAATTGAAAAGTCTGCCAGAATTTCAGTAGAGGAACTCGACCAAGCTGATAATAAGAATATAATGAATAGTATATGCATATTATCTGCTGAACTAATGGTTAAAGCTAATTGATGAATAACTGTTGAGTGTTCAAAACCATCAGACAACATATTTTATCATAAGGCATCCTAAACACCTTTTCCTCCTCTAAATTTAAATATAATTTATATTCATAAATATGCAAAATGATGCAATACTGATTGAAAAATTCTGGCTAACTGTTTACAGATAAAAGTATCTGCAACCCAGTTTCAAAAATGCTCAATATTTTTAAAGATCATTTTTGGAACCAGTGATATTTTATTAAATTTAAATGCCTTTCAGGCCAGCATTGGTTGTGTGAAGCAGTTTATGCAATTTACTACAAAAATATGCATGTATACTATTGTGTGGCATTACATTAAACAACGTTTTCTTTGAAAGGGGCACTTTGAGACAAATAAACCAAGCAGGAAAAAAAAGTAAATTCTTTTACTTGTAGTATGGGCAAATGTACAATGCCCTTAAACTCAAATCAAGCCTCACTTTCAATAAGTTGATGTGTTTTGAAAATGAATATGACAAATACGAACTGAAACTGCAATGTGTTCTACTTCTACGCATTAAAATGCGGCTGCCTCAATAGTTGTTCCATTATAATTGCATTTGAACACCAATTTTGGTAGTTTTACAACACTATCATCTGAAATGCTTGATTTCTCAAAAATATAAGATACCTATTTAAGAACAGGCTTAGTACATTTTGAAAACATTTGTTTTATACTGCTCGTGTGCAATCTAAATACAATAATATTTATTGCTGTGGGCTAATAAAAGGTCACTGATCTGTACAACATGTAGGTTTTGATTACCAGGGCTAGACAACTCTCTAGCACATAAAACACTTGTTCCACAATAACACAATAATTCCATGCATGGTTAAACAATAAAACCTCAAGAGCAGAAAGGGTATTTAGTACTGAAGAGCAAGTTCTCCAGAATCAAGATTAAAACTGAACATTTATCAAAGATGAGGATCAAAACAAGAGTGTTGTAGATAATTTTCATTTTGGGTAACTGAATGTTGCCAGTCACCCATTTTACACCCCATCTGATTTCCAACTCCACTGAAGTCAATGAAGGGTGCATAATAGACAACCAAACAGCAACCATCATTTCCCAATTCCACTCTTCTGGTGTGCAAATCCATCATTGTGAAATATGGATATGTTTCAGCCTTTCGGTTATCTCCAGAAAGTACTTAAAATGGATTTAACTTCAATGCATTATTATTTCAAAACTGGATTGAAATGCATTATTGCACAGCAGTAAAATTGGTTGAATCTGTATTCTTGATTGACCTGTTATTTGATGAGAGCTATTTTAACTTCCAAAAGCAGTAGTCATTATGATTTCTCCTATTCTTTCATGATGTCTACAAGTGAACATTTCTTAGAAAGCTGCATTCAGGAAGTAAACAAAACATTAAGTGCTGTAGGAAATGAAACATCTCTTCAGCAATATGACGTCTATTATGTCTTTTTTTTGAATGAGCGTGAGTTGCCCATTTTAAAAAAAATACAAAGTCACTTCTCTTCAATTAAAATACATTATCAAGATTACTCCAGAGCAGGTGCTTATAGTCAAGTTTTACTGTAACAAAAATGGATCCGTCATGTTTTGCAGTTCATCTTGAAGATCATTTTCAGTTTCTACAAAGCGACTATTGAAACTTCCAAATACTTAATTGCTCAGCCCATCTCTTCTTCTGCATTACCACATATTGTGTGAACAAAAAGCATAGTCTCAATTTATGCTTTTATTGAATTTCACAGTTCTTTCAAATGAACGCAGTTCAGTTTCTCCAAAAAGACTCCAGAGTTGATGTAGAGAAACAGGTAGCAATTCAAGTCTATTATAATTAATTCAAATACAATCAACGGTTATAAGGAAATCTGGGAACAGTAATGCTTTAATTTGCAAGGAAGGATTCCTCGGTTCAATTGATAAAATTCAACAAGCTGGATAAGATCAGTAAATCTGGTATTTCCATCATCAAGACTGAAGACAAGCTGTCCATTATCTTCACACTGGGGGGAAAAATGATCAAAATATACAACATTTATTGCAGAAACTATAAATGGTTAAAACTGAAACCAGTGGCATGTAGCGACTCTGGTTGTAAGATAGACATGCATTTTATTTGTTACAAGAGGTGATTCTAATCCTCCTGATAGAAGATACTTGCTAGTAGACTCTTATTAAACATTTCAGTGCTCCACTACAAATGAAAACTCTCCACACTGGTTCATAACATGGCAAATTAGCTCAACTTCTTCAGTAAGATTTTACAATAAATCAGCATAAATATTTCTAAAGTACCACTGTACATCATAATTTAGAGCTGAATTCCTGAAGATTACAAATATATTATAATATTAGCAGTACAGGTCCTCAATTCCTCATTTCTAGGTTCTTGGGAGAATAAAAGGGCATTTATTCATTTCAGGCTTTAGGCCCTCCCTGGCCAAAGCAAAATGTATTAGATTTCACACACTTGTCCATCCACTAATCACTCAACCCTACCGACAACAAAAATCAGAAACCTTAACTTTTGATGCTCAAAATGTGATTACTGGGTAATGCCAAAAGTCACACTCCTTGTACTTCTAAACCTGACAAAATTCATTCACATCCCAAATTCCATTCATGATAGAAATTGCTTTCTGCACGAGGTCAAGACTTAATTGAAGATGAAAAACTCATCCTTCATGGTCCTACTTACCCAAGACAATGTACATGGACATCCATCCACCCTCTCGTGCAAACAAACAGCCAGCCATTACATATCATTTTTATCTCCAAATACAACCTCACTCATTCACCTCAAGGGAAAATAAAAACCTTTAACCATCGACTGTGATTGCTGGAAGGAATTCAACATCCTTATGTCAAACAGGGATAATGAAGGACCTATGAAAAGAGGTTAGCAAATCAACTATAGATGCTTGCTGGAGAAAAAGTTTAGCCTGAGGCTGTGAATGATTTTGCAGGGCTTCCCAATGTGGATGCTGATATAGATTCGATGATTGAGTTGGCAAAACAAGTTGGAGGGGATGGATTTGAAGACTCTCACAGACGAAATAAAGGAGTATCCCCAGATTTCAAGAGAAACTCACAAAAGAATTGGTGGAATTAATTAAATCAAGGGAATGTCATAATGAGGAGAATAAGGAGGAGGCCAAAGTGGCTCAATTTACAGCTAATATGATGCCAGAACTAATAAAGGTAAGGTTGCCATACTCTTACTAGATCATAGGGCTTCTCACTCACTAAAGACATGATGATGAGTGATGGTTTAACCTGAGGTCACCACACCTCAGGCAAGGGGAGAGGGTGAGAAGGATAATCCTTCATGGTAACTACAGCTGATGTGGGATTTGAACCCACACTGTTGGCAACACACTATGTTGCAAACCAGTCATCCTGCCAACTGAGCTAACCACTTAAAAATATCAGCTGAAAATTGAAAGGTGGAGGCAACAGACTACAATAAAAATATGGAACTAAGTAAGTCTTTGCAGAGTGACAATGCTACTGTTCCTCGCCGAGAACCTTCCAAAATTCAAAAGACAAAGCAGTCAAAAGTAACATTGTTTTTATACTACTGCAACATTAACTTCAGCCACCTTGACTATTCCGTCCAGGTTCAAAAAAATTCACCAACTTTGCCAGAAGTAGGTGTGACAAATGTTATTTTTTAAAGTTACATTATTTTTCCAGCAGGACATCTTCATAGTTATTAAAAATGCTGTTTTATGCTTTATACTCTAGCATGCACTGTTCATTTAGTTTATTTTATAATAGCGGAAAGCTATCCAATTGACTCCCATTATGAAACATGTTCACTGTCAGTAAATTCACTGCTTGTGAGGTTTTTCAAGAACATAAGCCCCATCCCCTGGTCCCGCCCCCCTCTCCAATGGCATCTTTAATTTTCTTCCCAATTTACCCTTCCCTCTTCTCCATTCTTCTGACCTCCAAACTTCTACATCTGTACATTCCTTTCCTCCTCATCTCCATTTCCCTCTACATTTTTTCTACTCCTCCTGCCTTCTATCCTCTCCATTCCTCTTCTCTCTTTTTTCTCCCTTATCTTAGTTCAATTCTCTCATTGTCCTCTTACCTAGAAATACCCATTGGTCTTGATTCAATTGTTTGCAATACCAGAGAAAATCAAGTATTAAAGGTACATAAGCAAATCAGAATATATTGAAAAATAGTGACCTGTGGAAATCTCAGAGTGAAGCTCACTTGAATTATATAATTATTCAATGCACCTACAGTATTTATCAGTTACAAATAGCTGGAAGACTATCAGAAAGCACCTGAGACCAGAAGTCTAAACTATAGAATATTTATGAAGTTTAAAAAGACAATAACAAATTCATGAGAATTTGAAAAAAAATTCAAAAACTTACTGGTAGTATCTGGAAATGCCTGATCTTTTGTTGACAGTATAACGTTAGCACAAATGTCTTTGGGTTACTCTGACTATCTCTCAAAAGAAACAACCTGTAGATACAAAATCAAAATCATATCTACTTGTTAAAATGCTGCCCTGAAAGAAAAAGGGGTTACGTGGCAGAGGGTTTAGGTCTAAATAATGCATTCAGCACAGTACAAAGTTTTCTAGCAAGTGTAAAAATGCCCATATATTGGCAATAGCAAATGAACAGAAAATGCTGGAAATACTTAGCAAGTCAGATAGCATCTACGGAGAGAGGTTCCTCTTTTTGCAGATGCTGCTTGATGTCATTATTTATAGCATTTTCTATTCACTTTCCAACACCATAATATTTTGCCAATGTGTAAACACAGTGGCATAATTACCGCTTTAGAGAACTGTAGGTCAGTATGAAATGCAAGGTAAATCCACAATCATTCGTATGGCAGCCTGCATGTCAGAAGTGCAGTTCATCTTCTATTTTCTTGAGTCATCAACTACTGAAACTCAAGGCCGGATTTTACAGGAGTCTTGCAAGGAAAGACTTAACAGACTGGGTAAGTGAACTGAGTGAAACTTGAACTCTTCCATACCAGATCCTGAGACATGCAGAGAGGGGTGTACTGTTTAGGCATAGCATAAATCAGTAAAGATACAAATGCTGCCTCTCAAATGAGGTCACTGCTGGACCATTCAGCAGACCCCCAGAAATAAGATGAGCATACCGACACACCACTGAAATAAGCAACCATCAGATAATTAAGAGGGTATCAGTGTCAGCAGAACTGTCCCATGACACAGTATGAACATATAGAGAATAAATCCCCAACAGTCAAAATATTTGATGGCTTGGGGGACGAATTAGATGTATAGCATGCAGTTCAAAATAACGCCAACAACATAGGTTCGGTTCCAGGTTAGTTAGGCTTAGGACCTACCTCTATGAACGGGAAGGTAATTATAAACCACCAATGACAAAAACCATCAAGGTGAAGAATCAGCAGACAGCGAGCCAAGGAAGTGTCTTCAAGCAGAGCACACATAGTATACCATACCACAGGATGGCTTAGATCCATGACTTGTCTCTGGACCTGATAGAATACTCTAAAAATGTAACTTCATTTTTTAAAAGCAACGACCAATGTAGTATTTGCTGGGTTTTTCCATTGTTGCAGGTTGACACAATTCGAAGTGAATTGTAATTAGTCCTCCTTACTTCTTCTTCAGTTCTTCAAGACTGAGGAATGCTTTCTTCCACTCTGAAGTTATAGGTCCTAAACAATCCAATGTTAGATTTGTCAGAAGTGGGATATGTGGTGCTTGATGAGGTAAATGTGTGTGATGCTCAAATATTTGCACACTCCTTCCCTTGTATGCACTTAGCTTCTACCTGGGCACGTGGGGAGTACTTGAATTGGATGGCAACTTCGTGGATACTCTTCTCCAGTTTGAACAGTCTTGGCTAAGAGATACCCATAAGACAGTTCGGATGTTGCATATTGTCAAGGAGGCGTTGAGGACATCTTCAAGCATTTCCTCTGCCTTTCCAGTAATCACATGCCATGACGAAGCTCAGAACACAGTTTATTTTGGAAGATTCCCATCAGGCATGAGAACAATGCGACTACCCAACACAAAAGACTGACTGACATCAGTGCCATTATGCTGGGAGATGTTGATCTGAAAGAGTATATCGACATTCGAGCACCTATACTGCTATTAGATTTGCAAGATTTTGCAGAGGCACTTGTATTTCTTGAGGGGTTTGAGGTGTCTGCTCTACATTGTCCACAGCTCCAACATATACAAGAGGACAGGTAATGCTGCTGCCCTATTGACCATTAGCTTGGTACCAAGTTTGAGGTCTTTGAGGAACAGTGTTTGATGACAGAAGACCAAAGGTTGCATTGGTAAACTAAACGGAAGCTGACCACACTAAACTTCCTGTCAAACTCAGTTTCATTTTCTAACTTTAAAGTCTTATGGTCTTCTGCTGATGGCAGCCGGTTGGCCTCCTTGCCACCTTGTCCAAAGTAACTGCTATGTATCACACAAAATATGTGCAAGATGCAACAGGCAAGGATTTTGGAAATTTAGCTGGGCTAAACTGTGGGATACATCTGCTGAATTTGTTTCAACATGCCAAATGTATGATTCACAACTTGGAGACCAAAGTGGCAGCTGGACATGATGTTAAGGTGAGAGAATAAAAAGCCAGGGGCAGAACAGTGGGATAAATAAAAAATAAAGTTAAAGTAAAACAAGTAGTGCAATAGGAAATATTTTTCAAAACCAAAAGTGAACAAACCGGGTCCAAGAGAAAATGCAATAATCAGAATTCAGTACTTCCGGGGGAGACATTCTATCAATCCAGCATACACAACAGGTACTGTCTAGAACCGCCAGCATATTCCCAGAGTAAACTATGCCCATTTCGTATTTACTGCTATAAAATCATGCAAGAAGATTCATCTGGGGAGAAATAAATTCACGGCATTGTATAATTCTTAATAACAGGGCCTCCCAATTGTTCAATCAGTGACTGATTTCTTACACAGAAAATTGAACAATCCATCTTTGGAAGTCATTAAAGACAGAAAAATCAATGCAATATTTAGAGTAAAGTTTTTTTGAATAATTTACAATAGCTTGAGAATGCTTCAACAACTTCCTGAAATGTTTGCTGTAAGTACATGGACACGAGTTGTAGAATGGAGATGGTTTTGGACTACACAGCTGTAATTCATTGTCCAGGGTATTTCTCCTTACCCATCCACGGGTCCCTGTTTCTCAATCATACTATGAGCTTCTTTTCGAGAGATGCGGCCGTGAAACCATGGCTGAGTTCTGTGAATAGCTAGATAATGAAAGAAATTAGTGACATTGGTTTCAAGCTTTAAATTTTAACTGTCTGTTTCACTAATAATTAGATTAATAAAGAGAAATTTTCAATTTACATGCAACTTACTGTGACCGAATGTTGGGGGATGTAAAGGACTCGAACTACCCAAAGTGTTCATCCGTTGACTGCGTTTCTGCAAGCAAAAACATTTAAAGCAGTAGTTGCCTCATATCACTACAAATTGCTTTATTCTAAAATTTAAAAATTAACAGCACATTCTCATATATTTACAGGAGATAAGCCCTTGCAGCTGGCTAAAGAAAGTGGAATTAATCACGAAGGAAGCGAACATTTTTAAATTTGAGAGAAAGAACACAGAAAGAACATGGAACAGTACAGGCCCTTCAGCCCATGATGTTGTGCCAACCTATTATTCTACTAAGGAAGGTCATTGTTCCAAAGCAATGGGCTGGATTTCACATTCACAAATTTGGTGGGGTACCCCTGCAAGTGTAAAATAAGCCACAATGGTAATGTGTCAGCCGTATGTTGTCATCATGCCTGGCTCCTAAATTGTGGGAAATGACCAGGTGCTAAAAATGGGCATCATGCCTGTCATTTTGAAATCTCAGAGCACGTTAACAACACAGTCATCAGCAACTTTTGCTGCTTGATGTATTATCTGGACATCAGACATGAAAAAGGGGGTGTAATTCTATGGAAGCTATATTGAGATGGCATAAGAATGCTGGAAGAAGCTTGCCACTAGGACCATGCTTGAATATACCAGATGATGCTGTTGGGGAAGGTGGCAGCATCTGTATGGTTATTAGTGAATGACTCCTTAAAAAACTGTTCTTCACCTTAATTAAAACTATCAATTGAAAGTGAGTGTCTTTACAGCTCTCTTCATGACTGACTTCCTGTTCATAGCAAAATCCCTTTGCTGCACAATGTCCAGTCTAGAATATCGATTGGGCATTGAGCAGTGTTTCTGTTGCCACTGATTAGTCTTGTGACACTTGACTAGACATGCTAAGATAGCAAGAGAGTGGACCTGTCAGTTTCTGTTCCATCACCCTCACCCTATTGAAAAATGTTAAATCCAGTCGATTAACTCAGTTGCTCACTCAATATATATGTTGTCTGACCTGCTGAGTACTTCTAGGATTTTCTGTTTTTATACGAAGATCTATAGTTTGATCCTTGGCTACTAAATCTGAAGCATTTGCCAACTTTTGAATTAAGAGAAAAAATACCAGCTTGTTACACCTTTCCTGGGCCTTTACTGCTCACAACAAATTTCTGAGGCAACTTTATTGCTCAACACTGAAAACCTTCTTGCCCTCAAGAGTTTTCAACTTTTATTTCAACTCATCATATATTCTTTCTTCTGAGTTTTGTTTTGTTTGAGATTTCTGCCTTTTTATTCTACTACAATCTCTCCCTCCAAATAAACTTCCCTACTGGCAATTGGCAATGGGAACAGCAAGACAGAACAGACTCAATGGAGTGAATGGTCTACTTTTGATCTTACATTTTATGGTTCCTACTCTCCTCTGTCAAAAGTGTTCATTATTTCAGGATTGCCGTGACATGGAAAGATAACTCAGCTTCCCTTGAATGTGAATCGTGCCTCCTGCTCTTTGTGTCATCGGCAAAAATAACAATCAAATCATTAGTCCCTTCACTTACATAAATTGTAAAAGTTAAGGTCACAGCACTGATCCCTATGTCACACCACTCACTGCAACTTCCCAACCAGATCCATTTATGCCAATATGATACCCCTACATCATGATTCTTTTTCCACAATAAATTGTGGTATGACACTTTATCAGGTGTCTTTGGAAAAATGACTACTGTACATCCACCCTTTTATCACCTGTGTATGCTACTTCCTCAAACAACTCCAATAAATTGGTTAAACATGGATTTCCTTTCAAAAAACCTTGTTGCCTCTACCTGATTAACATGAACCTCCAAGTTCCCTGTTATAATGTCTTCAATTAATAGCTAACATCTTCCCTTTAACTGATGTTGGTCTAATTGGCCTGTAGTTTCCTGCTTTCTGACTTCCTTTTTGAATAAAGGAGTTACACTCATTAGTTACCAATAAAGTAGAACCTTTCTCAAATCAAGAGAATTTTGGAAAATTAGAACCAATGCATCTAATAGCTAACAATACTTTTGTGATAGCAGGATGAAGTCCACACATCTCAGCAACTTGCTCAATACCATTTCAAGTAATTTTCTTGAATCCCTCTTCTCTTCCATTTCCTGATTTACTCCTATTTTTAATCTTTATGTTAAGAAGACTGACGCAAAAAGCCTATCCAATTTATTTGCAATCTCCTTATTTTCAGTTCTTCATTCCCCAGACTCAATTTCTACAGGACCAATCCCTGCTTTGTTAACATTGTTTTCACAAACTCTTATCTGTTTTTAATATTTCAAGCTAGGTTTCTTTTGTGCTCTCTTTTTTCCTTACTTATTAACTTCTTTTGGTCATTTTTAGTTTTAATATTCTGTCCAGCCAGATATTACCTCTAACAAAATCAGAAATTACTGGAAAAACTCAGCAGTTCTGGCAAAATCTGTGGAGAGAAAGCAGAGTTAACATTTCAGGTCCACTGACCCTTCTTCAATATCCTGGTACTGGACCCAAAACGTTAATTCTACTTTCTCTCCACAGCTGCTGCCAGATTTGCTGGGTTTTCCCAGCAATTTGTGATTTTGTTTCTGATCACCAGCATCCACAATTCTTTATTTTTTTTATTTAGATATTATCTCTAATTTCTTTTAGTTAATCGTGGATAGTGGTCCTCCCCTTGGTATTTTTCTTTCTCACTGGAAAGTATATGGGATTCACAGCTCCAATTCATCTTTATTCTGTTGTGTTTCACTGTTTGCTCAACAGCCAATTTTGGATAATCCATACTTTTCCCCAGCTAAATATGGGGAAGGCTGAAGTCAAAAGCTTTCATACTATGCAGAAACTCTGCATTTGTGCCTCTGACTTTGTACCCTCCCTAATCACTGTTTCAGGCTGAATTAGACTCATCTTAACTTTACCACTATATTCAACACCATGCTGAAAGTTTCAGCTGTATCATCTCCATCATGAGAACACTTTAACTGCACCTCAAGCAGCACCCCACCCGGCTTTACATCAGTCCTTTTCCCTTTTAACTCTTGCTCAAGCTTTTGTCACCTCCTTTATTATTCCACTGCTTTCTTAATTGGTTTTCCATTGCTTGGCTTCGATAAACCTCAACACATCCAAAACCTTACTTTCTGCATCTTATCCCAATATTCAATGACCTACAGTGAATCCAGCACAATGTTTGAAATTTATAATAATTAGGATCTAAATCCTTCTTTAACCTCTACTAGCCCTACAAATCTCCTATCCCAACCAAACAAGTGCCATCATATTTCAACCTCTTGTCATTCCCCTCTCCTTTTCCTCCGCCATTCATTACAATGCTTCCAGCTGTACAGGACTAGAAAAAGGCTGAAGAAATGTCTTTACCCTCCATGTATGACCTTCTTCCATGGCTGCGTTTTGGGCCTCTGCAGGATTTTCAATGACCCGACCTGTGTGTCCAGAGAAGTCCATAGCTACCAAGGAATTTTCAGATATGCTTCTCTGAAAGAAAGGATGACAGAAACAGAATAACATTTGTGATATACATGATTCACTGAATACCTCAAGTATTAATGAAAATATGATTAAATTGAAACTTTCAAAAATATATGCCAGTGAAAAAGATTAAAAATTCAAGAGAGGACAGAATAGCATCAAAATGTCTTGAAGAGAGATGACGACCTACCACAGGTGTAGAGAAATGGGATAATAATGTTTTTCTTTGTTGAGGAATCCGATAGTTCTGGTATAATAGGATGCCATACTACAGAAAAGAAACAAATGCTAACTTTAAACAGCAACAATAAATTTTACAAAGAGAAAACTTAGGTAACAGTGACTACATATCTAATTCCTAACTGAGAGATTTAATTAAATTTAGATTTACCTCCAGTGCGAGTCTCAATGGATTTTAAATTGCTATTGGCATTAGTGCTCGTGCCAAATGGAGGCGTACAGATCATGATATCAATCAAATGCTAATTTGATGTCAGTGTTACCTGTTTGAAGGTCAAGCTAATGGCCTCCCTTCATCCTGCACAACTGGACAAATAATCAACAGCAAGAAGCATCCCCACCACTGCTGCTTAAATGGATCATTAACTACATACAGGTGAGTTACTTGTAAATCTAAGAGGACTATTGGTGAGATTGTGAAGGTACGTGGCACTTGCAACAGTTCTTCAAAGTTATGTAAACAATGTGTAGTGTGGCAATGTTGAAGGACTTGATCCTGACTTCTGGATATCTCAGCTGCTCTCAAACATGGGTGCAGTGGGAGCCATTACTTCTGGAATATTGAATGACTGGGCGAATGACCAGAGTACAAGTAGAGAACACAAGTGACATGGATTCTTAAAAGCAGACTGTGTCCATCCAAAATATTCGAGGAATTTTCAGAATTCCAGTAAGTGTGCGAAACATCTGCATTTCAGTCAAGATGTCTTCATTGAAATCTGCAACTTTCTGTGGCCTCAATAACTGCATCAGAGCAGGGTGAGAATGATATTGTCAGTTGTTGTATATATGACATTAACCATGAACCTTTGTCAGTCAGCTCCTTTCAATCTGGAGGTGGAGATATTTGCACCAACTCTCAGTTTGCCATGCACTTCAGAAAAGTTAGTAATGCCCTGTTTTCAAACACAGTAGATTACATTTCATGCTTAACTTATCAGAGAACAACATCTGATGAAGGGCAACTGGACTCAACACTTTAATTGTTTTTCTCTCCAGATGCTTCCAGATCTGTTGAGTTTCTCCAGCATTTTTTATTTATGTGATAGAGTGCAGAAATGGCTTCATTTTGACTTTCAGACTTTCCCAAATTATCAGATGCATTGATTGCATGCACAGCCATTTGTGAATGTCCCGTACCAATCAAGATGCGCCACATCCAATTAGGAATTCATTGCCTCAACATCCATCTAGTGTACAACCAGGCACAAAGTATCCAGATCAATTTTAGTAACCTGGCAGAAGTCCCAATGCTTTGATTCCACACAATCCATGGTGTCATCTGCAAATGAGCTACCATGCCAAACTCAGGGGCATGGCAATAAGGTTTATCCACTGACTACACCATGTACGCAAAACCAGCACAATTACTGTGAAAGCCATGCAGTATCCAAAAGGAGGATACCAAGTGGTCTACTGCATGACATACAACTTCATCATCATAAGGATGCAGCCCTTGCCACCAACTAACTGGCAAGCAGCTGATGAGAACGAAGACAAAGGGAGAAATAAACCAGAAAGCCAAATTTTAGCTTGGTTGTCCTTGAACATCTCATCCAACTTGATACAAGTGTATGCAACTTAAGAACCCTATTCACCAACAGTACCATTATGATATCAGTGAATACAACCCCAATCCCTCAATTGTCCCAGGCCATACCCTTCCTCTGTAACTGACCATCTGGTTATCTGCTTAGCCACAATTCAAAAACAAAGTAAATATACCAAAACAAATAATGCCACAATGTACACAAATGCTAATTATCACTTTTGCGCATATCCTTAGTGGCAGTCCTTCTTGTACCTGTCTTGGTGCTCCTATGCAGTGTTAAACTGGTGACTTAAACGTGGCTAATGGAAGACTTTCAGTTCAGGTAATGGAAGACTTTCAGTTCAGGAAACTAAAGATGGTCTTGGAAGATGTTTCAAGCATCTGTGTACCTAGAAATTCTAAGACCAGACTTGGCAATACACGCAACAGCTAGTTGACAGATAACAACAAAGGCTCTAGGCAGAGTGACAATATTAAGTATAGGCCTGCTAGAAAGGGCAACAGATTCATCTTCCATAGAGCTACTGCTGTTCCCTTAGAAGAGAGTTCACTGTTGGTGAGATTACTGGGCTGGTATGATACCTCTGATGCTCCTCTGAACACTGGTACCTATGGCAGTAGTCTGTGCTTAGATGGCACAGTGGAGTTTTAGCATGCATCACAGAAGGCTGACTTTGCACGACCAAAGTCTTAACTTTAACTATCATTGAAACACTGGTATATTGAGCGGTTTCTGTTACGATACAATTTTTGAGGTACTAAAGTAGGAGAGCACAATGGTAGAAAGCACGATGGTCAGGAAGGGACTGCTGTGGTGGGAAGCAAGAGGTGCATGAAATCTTCTATAGTTTCAGTCCTGTGCCCAGCCACAGTCTTAATCAGGGTCACTCAAATGAAGGTTAGGACATATATATCTGCATGTCCATTGCAGGTCAAGCACTGCTACTTCTGGTTGTGTATCACCTTGCCCTGCAAGACAGGAAAGTGGTTTACTAACTGTGGTGTAATTTGACAGCTGATGTAGCTGCTTTGATTGTGCAGTTGTAAGTGTGCCCAGGTTGTAAATTACACAGTGACAGCAAGGGTGTGGTTGTTTCTTTTAAAATTTATTTGTGAGATATAGGCATCCCTGGTTGCCTTATAGAAGGTAGTGGTGAGCTGCTTTCTTGAACTGCTAGAGTCCACCTGCTGTGGGTTGACCCACAAGACTATTAGGGAGGGATTTCCAGGATATTGACCCAGTGACAGTGAAAGAACAGTGACATATTTCCAAGTCAGGATGGTGAGTGGCTTGGAGCGGAACTTGAAGGTAGTGGTGTTTCCACGTATCTGCTGCCCTTGTTCTTCTAGATGGAAGTAGTCGTGGATTTGGCAGTGCTAAGGATCTTTGGTGAATTTCTGCAGTGCATCTTGTAGATAATACACACTGCTACTATAGAGCACCAGTGGTGGAAGGAGTGGATGTAGTGCCAATCAAGTGGGCTGCTTTGTCCTGGATGGTGTCAAGCCTCTTGACTACTGTTGGAACTGCACCCCTCCACGCAAACGGGGAGTATTCCAACACACTCCTGACTTGTGCCTTGTGCCTTGCAGATGATCAACAGGCTTTGGGGAGTCACAAGGTGAGTTACTCACTACAGTATTCCTAGCCTCTGACCTGCTCTTGTAGCCACTGTGTTTATGTGGCAAATTCAGCTGAGTTTCTGGTCAATGGTAAGCCCAAGGATGCTGAGAGTGGGGAATTCAGTAATAGTAACACCATTGAATTAAGGGCTGATGATTAGATTGTCTCTTATTGGTGAAGGTCATAGTCTGGCATTTGTGTGGTATGAATGTTACTTGCCACCTGATAGCCTGAGCTTGGATATTATCCAGATCTTGAGATAACACAGTGTGGAGCTGGAGGAACACAGCAGGTCAAGCAGCATCAGAGAAACAGGAAAGATGACGTTTTGGGTCAGGGCCCTTCTTCAGAAATTTTTGAATTTTGGATTTAGATGTCTGAAGGGTCACGACCCAAAACGTCAGCTTTCCAGCTTCTCTGATGCTGCTTGACCTGCCATGTTCCTCCAGCTCCACATTGTGTTGTCTCTGGCTCCAGCATCTGCAGTTCTTGCTATCTCCGATTATCCAGATTTTGTTGCATTTGAACGTGGCTGCTTTAAATATCTGAAAAGACATGAATGGTGCTGAACATTCCCACTTCTGACCATATAATGGAGGGAATGTCATTGATTGAAGCAGCTGACAATGGTTGGGCCTAGGACACTACCCTGAGGAACTCCTGCAGAGATGACTGACCTCCAACAACCACAAACATCTTATGTGCCAGGTATGACTCTAACCAGCAAAGAGTTTGTCCCCTAATACCTACTGATTCCAGTTTTGCTAGGGGTCCTTCAGGCTGCACTCGGTCAAATGCTGCCTTGATATCAAGGACTGTCACTCACACCTCACCTCTGGTGTTCAGTTCTTTTGTCCATGTTTGAACCATGCCTGTAATAAACCAAGGAGCTGCGTGCCGCTGATGGAGCCCAAACTGGGCATTATTGAGCAGGTTATTGCTGAATAGGTGCTAATTGATAGCACTGTGGATGACAACTTCCATCAATTTACTGATGACTGAGAGTAGAATGATGGAGCGTTAATTGGCTGAATTGGGTTTGTCTGGACTTTTATGACTGGACACACCTGGGAAATCTTCCACATTAGCGGGTAGATGCCAGTGTTGCAACTGTACTGGAACAGCTTGGCTAGCGGTACTGAAAATTCCCCTTCAGCCTTATCTTTTGCACTGATGTGCTGGCCCCTCCATCATTGAGGATGGCGAGCACAAGTCTTCAGTACTTTTGCCAGAATGTTGTCAGGACCCATAACCTTTGCAGTATCCAGTGTCTCCTGATATCACATGGAGTGAATCAAATTGGCTGAAGTAGAATTACTGGTATCTGTAATGCTGGGGACCACTGGAGGGGGCTGAGATAAATCATCTACTTGGCACATTTGGCTGAAGATTGCTGCGAGTGCTTCAGCCTTATTTTTTGCACTGATGTGCTGGGCCCTTCCATCATTGAAGATGGGGATATTTGTACAGCCTCTGCCTTCATTAAGTTTTTAATGGTCCACCACCATTCACACGTGAACGTGGCACAACTGCAAACCTTAGTTCTGATCCGTTGGTTAGGGGATCGCTTAGCTCTGTCTATCACTTGCTGCTTATGCTGTTTGACATACAGGTAGTCCCATTTGGTAGCTTCACTGGGTTGACACCTATTTTACACGTATGCCCAGTACTCCTCCTGTCATGCCGTCCTGCACTCTCCATTGAACTAGGGCTGATCCCTTGGCTTGATGGTTGAGTGATGGTTATGTTGGACCATGAAGTTGCAGATTGTGTTGCAGTATAATTCTACTGCTGTTGATAGTCCACAGCACCTCATGGATGCCCTATCCTGAGTTGCTAGATTTGTTTGAGGTCTGTCCCCTTTAGCACAGTGATAGTGCCACACAACACGATGGAAGGTATTCTCAATGTGAAGTCGGGACTTCGTCTCCACAAAGACTGCACAGTGGTCACTCTTACAGATGCTTCTGCAGCCAGCATTTGATTTGATTTATTGAAGTCACATGTACAGTGAAAAACTTTGTTTTGCAAGCAATACAGGCAGATTATAGCAAACAAGGACATACAGATCACAGGGTGCTTAGACAGAGCAAGGCATACAAACAGATTGATAAGGATGAAGTCAAGTATGTTTTTCCCTTTTGTTGGTTCCCTCACCATCTGCTGCAGACCCAGTCTAGCACCTATGTCCCTTAGGCCCTAACCAGCTCAATCAGTAGTACTGCTGCCAAGCACTCTTGGCAGCAGACATTCAATTCCAGCAACCAGAGTACATTTTTGTGCCCTTGCCATCCTCAGTGTTGTTTCTCTGAGACTTTGTAGTGACTGATACAACTGAGTGGCTATCTAGGCCAATTCAGAAGCAACTCAGTCAACCACATTACTTTGGGTGTGAAGTTACAAGTAGGCCAGACCAAGTAAGGATGGCAGATTTCCTTCTCTGAAGGACATTAGTGAACCAAACAGGTTTTTCTGATATTGACACTGGTTTCAAAGTCATCAGTAGATTCTGAATTCCAGATATTTTTACCGAATTCAAATTTGACCATCTGCCATGGCGGGATCTGAACCCAGGTATGCAGAACATGAGCTGAGTTTCTGGATTAATAGTTGATGATAATATCACTAGGCCATCCTCTTTACTGTGGTGAAGTTAGTAATACATGTGGTGGGATCTGGCACTTGAAGGTACATTCACTGACCTTGACCATTCATGTAAGGACACTGAACTTTGTATGGCACTGCATCCAGGACCTTAGGATGTGAATCCTAGCATTGGACATTATGACTGGATGGTACAGAGTTTGTCTGGAGGTTCTCCTATTGCCCGTAGGCCGAGCATAGCTGCTCTTCTTCTCTGCCCCGTCTTGACCAAGGCTACCAAGTGCAGTGATGAAAAATCTTGGAGCCTGCTTCCTTTCATCTACTGTCATTATTCTGTCCTCACCAGTTCAGAATCGCTGTTAGAATTAACTTCCTGGACTTGTTCAAGCCACAATGCACTTGAAGTGATATAGGTTGGTTTTAACAGACACTGGCCTCTCATGATTTGGGATCCCCTGTTAGGAGCACTTAGCCACTCAAAGGTGTGACTGGCACAAGCTACATTATGTGTGGCACAAGCTACATTATGTATACTGGAATCATTTTAATTAGCAGGCAGTGCAAAATAGACGTGCAGTCTGCATCAGAAGCAATGGCTACAGGTTAATTCCACATCACCTCTTTTTGGGAGATATCACATTTAAGCCACAAAGAAAAATGTCAAATTAGCAAGATGCAACGAAGTTTTGTGATGTCATTAAGCACAGTAGAAGACTAGTAAAATAGAAAGAATTTAGAAGAAACAAACAAAACATTTTGATAAGGTTATGGAAATTACATTATTGACTATTTACAATTACAAGAGAATACCTTGAGTAGTCGAAAGGCTGTCATCCAGCATGTTCTGCTCTGTTCATCTTCTGCACAGAATAATCGAAGGTCCTTTGTTTCATTCCTCATTTTTATGGGCTGGGTTGGATAAGGAAACAGCAGTCATACGTAATATTACTTCTGACAGAATATGATATTTCCCCCGTGAAACTGTAAAGCAGTTTTCATTGCTCAAATCAAATTTATAGACTAATTGCAACTCTTCTAAAAATTGGTTTAAATACAACAGCTTATACACTGAATTTAAAGTATCTGATAAGCAAAGCAACTTTCTAAACAAAATGGCAAGAGAAACAAAAATGCAAGTTGCTGTAAAAGCTCAGCAGGTCTGGTAGCATCTGTGAAGAAAAATCAGAGTTAACATTTTGGGACCTGAACGTTAACTCTGATGTTTCTTTACTATGCTGCCAGACTTGCTGAGTTTTTCCAGCAACTTCTGTTTTTGTTCCTGATTTACAGCATCCGCAGTTCATTCGGTTTTTAAAATAGCAAGAGGAATTCGGTGAGAAGAACAATTTAGTGCAGTGTGAAAGAAGAACTTATTTGCTGTAAAACAAAGGGCAATCGTAAATTATAGATAAATAATTAGATCTAAAGAGATTTCTCTTTTAAGGAAATTGAGACCCGTAATCTGGAACTTCTGTGACTCTTGGTAATTTCAAGATGCTTGAGGTATACTGGATACGTGTGCTAGAGGTGCCACCAGTTGAATGAATTTGATTTGATTTGTTTTCCGAGTTGCAGGAGCAGTTGGAGTCAGTATGTGCCATATGCAAGGTTGAGAATTTCCTGAAATGAATGCTCCAAGATTTGCTTACTGCACAGCTACCGAACAGTAAAGTGAGACAGCTTAGCAAGAGGTAGGCAACAGAGGAATCCCCTGGGATTGCGGCACACAAAAAATGTTTTTTAATGGTAAATACTAATGAGGCTGATGAACACCTTGGCAGGGTGCAGTCCAATGTAAACCCATTGCGCATGTTGGCAAAGCAGTAGAAAAGGAATGGTCACAGAGAATTTCATTTCTGAAATGTTGTCTCCTTGAACCATTGTGAGGTCATGGAACATAATATGAATGATGAAGGCAGTTGATGTTTCACAGTTGTACAATGTGGGAGCTCATGGATGCCCATGTGATTCACGACAACTACATCTGCAGTAATTATCTGTGGTCTGATGTTCAGTTCAGATTACTTGAGCTGGAGGCCAAGCTTTGAACTTCAATATCAAGGAGGGGGAATATTATCTGGCTACTTTATTCCAGAAGGCGATCTGAGGTGAACATTTAATGATTTGGTCCACAATGACAGGAGTTGGCGGTCAATCATCTCATCTCCAGGACATCTCTGCAGGAGTTCCTCAGGGTAGTATCCTTGGCCCAACCATCTTCAGCTGCTTCATCAATGACCTTCCCTCCATCATAAGATCAGAAGTGGGGATATTCGACGATGATTGCACAATGTTCGGTACCGTTTGAGACTCCTCAGATACTGAAGCAGTCCATATTCACATGCAATAAGATCTGGACAACATCCAGGTTTGGGCTGACAAGTGGCAAGTGACATTCACGCCACACAAATGTGCATGAGGCAGAATATGGTGATCAAAAATGCAGAAGAAGAGGAGCCTCAACACTTATAACTGTCAACATTTAAAGTTCTTAGAACTTATTGGGATGAAAGTGCAGGGCTATAAGGAGGATAAGCAGTTTGACTACAACATCATGATGTGGGGAACCATTTAAGTGGTGGTAGTAAATAGAAATGTAGTGGTAGTGAGGGACAGTATAGTCAAGGGGAATAGTCACAGTTCTCTGCAGCTAATGAGAGTACAATTACATGAGTCAATTGCCTGCATAGCCAGTGTTTGAAAATTAATGCTCTGGCTGGAGAGGATCTAGTTGGAGTGGACCACTTAGTTCCAACAACATAGGTAGGACACAAAAAAAAATTGTTTGGGGATTGTGAGCAGCTACAAGGGGAAATTGAGAGTCAGAACCACAAATATCTGGATTACCAGCTAAATCACAAGAAATTATTGTGGGGTCAAAATGATTAGACAGATGAATGCATGACCCAAAGAATGGTGTGGAGAAAATAAGTTTTGAAACTACTAGGAAAAGGTCCTTGGGAAAATATTAGAACTAAAGACAGATACTCATCCTGAATTTGATCACATGCATTTTGTTTTATTCATTCATGGGACATGGATGGCATTGCACTCTAGCGACTTAGAAGTTCAACAGCAGACAAAGTAAATGCATAACTCTAAATCCCTAGATTTTGGAAGTACTTCTGTACATTGGAAAATAGCTATTGTAAAACCTATTCAATCAGTAGGGAGACAGGGTCGAAGCACCCAGTCTTGCTGATGTCACAACAATATGTAAGACAGCAAGTTGTCAAGGGGAGACAGAAGGTCTAAAAAGAATATAGACGGTTGTGATTCGGCGAAAGATTTGGCAGATGGAGCATAATGTGGCAAAATGTGTATTGGCCCACTTTGGCAGGAAGAATACAAAAGCTGAAAAAAGAGATTAAAGAACTGGGAGGTAGAGGAATATGAATACCCTGGTAGAAGAATCACAAGACATTGGTACGCAGGTGCCGCAAGTTATTAGGAAGACGAATTGAATCTTGTGTGCTTATTGTGAAGTTGTAAGGGAAGTGGTATTTAAAAATCTCAGAGTTGCTGCAGCTATATATGGCCTGAGTTGAATGTGCTCAGTGTTGGTTTCCTTACTTAAGAAAATATATAATTGCACTGGAAGCAGTATGGAGATTCATGAATGGGGAAGGGGATATCCTATGAGGAAACATTGAACAGGTTGAGCCTAAATGGACTGGAGTTAGAAGAATGAAAGATAATATAATCGAAACATTTAAGACAGTCATATTTCATACAGCATGGGAACAGACCTTTCGGTCCAACTCATCCACGTTGACCAGACATTCCAATCTGACCTCATCCCATTTGGCTCATATCCCTGTAAACCCTCCCTATTCATATACCCATTCAGATGCCTTTTAAATGTTGAAATTGGACCCACTTCCACCACTTCCTCTGGCAGCTCATTCCATACACGCATCTGCCTCTGCGCGGAAAAGTTACTGCTCAAGTCCTTTCTAAATCGTTCCCTTCTCACCCATCCTAGGTAAAAGATCTCGGCTATCCACCTTATCTATGTCCGTCATGGTTTTATAAACCTTTATAAGGTCACCCCCTCAGTTTCCAACTGTTCCCAACTTACCTAGCTCCAGGGGAAAAAAAAACGTCCTAGCCTATTCAGCCTCTCCCTATAACTCAAACCTTCCAATCCCAGGAACATCCTTGTAAATCTTTTCTGCATCCTCTCAAGTTTAACAACATCATTTAACTGTTGTTATGGCCTCACCAACATCCTGTACAACCTAAATATGATTTCCCAATTCCTACATTCAAAGGTCTGAGCAATGAAGGTAAGCGTGCTAAACACCTTCTTAACCACCCTGTCTACATGTAATGCAAATTTCAAAGAATTATGCTAGGTCTCTCAGTTCTACAACATTACACAGGACCCTACCATTAATTGTATAAGTCCTGCCCTTGTTTGTTTTACCAAAGTACAAAATGTTGCATTTCTCCAAATTAACCTCCATCTGCCATTCCTCAGCCCATTGACCTAATTGATTATGATCTCTTTGTAATCTTGGATAACCTTCACTGTCTATTATATACCACCAGTTTTGATGTGATCTGCAAACTTACTAACCATGTCTCCCAAATTCTCATCCAGATTGTTCATATAGGTTGCAAATAGTATTGAAGATTTGTGCTCCAGAATTTGCCGCTCCCCTAGCCAAGCTGTTCCAGTACAGTTACAACACTGGTATCTACCCGACAATGTGGAAAATTGCCCAAGTATGTCCTGTACACAAAAAGCAGGACAAATCCAACCTGGCCAGTTACCACTCCATCAGTCTACTCTCGATCATCAGTAAAGTGATGGAAGGTGTCATCAACAGTGCTATCAAGCAGCATCTGCTCAGAAATAACCTGCTCAGTGATGCCCAGTTTGGGTTCCACTGGGGCCACTCAGTTCCCGATCTCATTACAGCCTTGGTTCAAACATGGACAAAACAGCTGAATTCCAGAGGTGAGGTGAGACTGACAGTCCTTGATATCAAGGCTGCATTCAACAGAGTGTGGCATCAAGGAGCCCTAGCAGAACTGGAATCAATGGGTATCAGGGGCAAACTATTGAGCAGTTGGAGTCATACCTGACACATAGGAAGATGGTTGTGGTTGTTGGCGGTCAATCATCTCATCTTCAGGACATCTCTGCAGGAGTTCCTCAGGGTAGTATCCTTAGCCCAACCATCTTCAGCTGCTTCCAGATTCGGGCTGACAAGTGGCAAGTGACATTCACGCCACACAAATGCCAGGCTATGACCATCACAAATAAGAGACAATCTAACCACCACTCCTTGACATTCAATGGTGTTACCAGCACTGAATCCCCCACTATCAACATCCTGGGGGTTACCATTGACCAGAAACTCAACTGGACTCACCACATTAACACAGTGGCTACAAGAGCAGGTCAGAAGCTAGGAATACTGCGGCGAGTAACTCACCTCCTGACTCCTCAAAGCCTGTCTGCCATCTATAGGGCACAAGTCAGGAGCAGGATGGAATACTCCCCACTTGCCTGGATGAGTGCAGCCCCAACAACGCTCAAGAAGCCTGACACCATCCAGGACAAAGCAGCCCGCTTGATTGGCACCACATCCACAAGCATTCACTCCCTCAACCACAGACTCTCAGTAGCAGCAGTTGTACTATCCACAAGATACACTGCAGAAATTCACCAAAGATCCTCCTTCCAAACCCACAACCACTTCCATCTAGGAGGACAAGGGCATCAGACATATGGGAACACCACCACCTCCAAGTTCCCCTCCAAGTCACTCACCATCCTGACTTGGAAATATATCGTTGTTCCTTCACTGTCACTGGGGTCAAAATCCTGGAGTTCCCTCCCTAATAGCATTGGAGCTCACCACCACCTACTCAAGGGTAACTAGGGATGGGCAAGCAGTGCTGGCCAGCCAGCGATCCCCATATCCCACAAATGAATAGAAAAAAAAAGGTATTTAATAGAGAATGAAATATGATCCATTGTGGCATAAAGGATAGGGGAAAAACAACAAAGTAGCTGGTCTAATTGTAAACAGTGTGCAAAGACCGAAGTGTCTGGGTGTTCATGTTAGATGATCTTTGAAGTCAGAAGAGTATTATGAGACCGTCATTGGCAAAACATGCTTCTTCCATCCTTCCTAAAATGCGGTAACCAAAAAATACTCCAGTTGAAGCTAAACAATGTTTGGTAAGGCTCTTATTTTTTTTCTTTTGTACTCTTGAATGCCTGTTCATAAAGCAGAGATTCTGTATACTTTATTTATCGCTTTCTCAGCACTCTTTGCTGGCTTCAATGATTTGTACATATTTTGTTTCAGACTCACTCTCATCATTCTTCCTACTTAAGTGAACCATTTCCCACTTTTCCACAGTAAACCTCAGCTGTTGTGTATCAGTCCATTCTGTCAGACTACATCCTTATGAAGTTAATGCTCCTCAGTTCATAATACTTCCATGCTTTATATGATACTTGTGATATGTATGATGTTTTATACCATCAATAAAGTTTGAAATTATGGTCTTCACACTTAGAATCATAGAATCCCGACAGTGTGGAAACAAGCCACTTGGCCCACTGAGTCCACACTGACCCTCCAACGACGGTCACATGCAGACCCACTCCCCTACCCTATCCCTCTAACCCTGCATGTCCCACGGCTAATTCACCTAACCGACACATCCCTGAGAATGTGGGAGGAAGACGGCATAGACACCCATGTAGACACGTGCAAACGCCACACAGTCACCAAGGGTGGAACTGAACCTGGGTCCCTGGCACTGTGAGGCTGCAGTGCTAACCACTAAGCCAGCATGCCGCCCTCTTGATCATTAATGCAGATTAAACAAACAAAGTGGTTCCAACACCAGCTTGAGTTCCCCAGTATCCAATTTCTTCCAGTCTGAAAAAACTGTTCACCACTACCATGTTCCTATCAGTTAAGCACAATTGTATCCATGCTGCAAGCGTCCCTTTTAGTCTATAGTCTTTAACTGTGCTGAGAAGACTTCTGTTGCACTTTGTTAAATGTTTTTTGAAATCAATATATGCTCCATCACCTGCATTACCTTCATTAACTTTCTCTACTATCACATCAAAAAATTTAATCCAGTAAAACTTGATTTGTCTATATAAATTTGTGCTAGCTTTTCTTAATTATTCTACTTGGACAAATGTTAGACCATTAATTGCGTCCCAATTTATCACATATAAACCTTTTCCTACCAGTGAGGTTAAACTGACTGATCAGTGGTTGATGGGCTTATCTTTATACTACTTCCTGTATAAAGATGCAACATCTGCAGTTCTCCAGTTCTCTTGCATGGTAGCACAGCGGTTAGCACTGCTGCCTCACGGCGCCAGGACCTGGGTTCGATTCCACCCTCGGGCGACTGTCTGTGTGGAGTTTGCACATTCTCCCCGTGTCTGTGTGGGTTTCCTTCGGGTGCTTCAGTTTCCTCCCACAGTCCAAAGATGTACAGGCTAGGTAGATTGACCATACTAAATTGCCTGTAGTGTTCAGGGATGTGTAGATTAGGTGGGTTATTAGAGGGGTGGGTCTGGGTGGGATGCTCTGAGGGTCGGTGTGGACTTGTTGGGCCGTAGGGCCTGTTTCCATACTGTAGGGATTCTATGATCCATGACCCCTGAATTACTAGAGGACAAGATGACAATACCAGTGTCTCAACAATTTCCACCTGACTTGTGTCTTCTGATGCACCCAATCCAGTCCTGGTGAACAACTTTAAGGAAAAATGGTTCCTCTAATAACTGCACTTTATCAATTTTTAGCCTACCGTCAAAAACTACTTCCTCCTTCATTATGATTTGAGCAGCATCTTTTTCCTTGGTAAAGACAGATGAAAAGTATTAATTGAATACTTCAGCCATACCCATTGTCTTCACATAAATAACATTTAAGGTCCCTAATCAGCCAACTACTTTTAACCACAATTTAACAACTTAAAAGTCTACAGCAGATTTTAGGATTTCCTTTATATTGACTGTCACCATCTTCTCACATTATCTCCTTATTTCTCTTATTCAAGGGTTTGAGGCTCAAGAAGATGAGACAGAGGATGAATGACATCATGGAGAGACAGGATAATAAGGATGACAATTTTAATATTGAGGCATTGCTTGATTAGGAGCCAATGTAGGTCAGTGAGCAAGGGTGATTGATTAATTGGACTTGTTGCAAATAAGGATGAGAGCCTACAGAGAGTAAAATATGGAAGTCAGCAGTGCATTGAATTAATCAAGTCCAGAAGTATCAAGGGTATGGATGACAGCAAATGTGTTAAGGCTGAGACAGAGACAAGCAATAGTACCCTGGTGGAAACTGGCAATATTAGTGATGGCGTGGTCACATGGTCAGACGTCTATCTTAGATCAAATATAATAACGAGCTTCCAAATAGACCTGTTTAGTTTCAGGCAGCTGTCGGGGAGAGGAATGGAGTCAGCAGCTATGGGAATGAGTTTTGTGTGGATAAGCTTTTTGAATTGAATTGAATAGAATAGAACAGAAATGGAAAATAAGAAAATGGCAGAGGAATTCAACAGGTATTTTTCCAGTATTCATTACAGACGAAATAAGCAAAATGCCAGAAACAGCAACAAATCCGGAAATAGGAGGAACTCAGAAAAATCATAATCACCAGGGAAGTTGTACAGAGCAATTTGTTGGAGCTGATGGACTTTATTGAAGGTCTTAAAAGAAATGGCTGGTGAGGTAATGACGAATTGATTTTAATTTTCTCAAAACTTCCTTAATTCAGGGATAGTCCCACGAGATTGTAAGATAGCAAGCATTTATTTTAAAAGGCGAGGGCAACAGAAAGCAGGAAACTATAGGCTAGTTCACTTTTATCTGTCAGAGAGAAATGATATAAATTATTATTAAAAGATTTATAATTGGGCACTTGGATAAGTTCAAGGCAATCAAGCACAGTCAACATGGCTTTATGAATGGGGAAAATATGTTTGATCAAACAAGTGGCAAGCTGTGGACAAAGGAAAACTGGTGGATGCACTGTGCTTAGATTCCCAATGGCATCTGACAAGGTGCCACATCGAAGGCTATAGTGGAAAATAAAAGCTCATAGCGTAGAAAATAACATGCTAGTTGGCTAACAGGATGCAGAGAGTAATCATGGATCTTTTTAAAGTGGTGTGCAACGTAGATTGGTGTTAGGACCCGGACAGTTTACAACTTATATAAATGACTTAGGTGAAGGGCAAGGTATGGTTGCCAAATTTGCTGATGAGACAAAGTAATTTGTGAGGAGGACACAGGAAGTCTATGAAAAGACACAGATAGTTTAAACTGGTGGGCAAAAGTGTGCCAAATGGAATATGATGTGGGAAAACATGAAATTGTCCATTTTGGCAGGAAAAATTTTTTAAGAAGTATATTATCCAAATAACACGAGAATTTGAAGTTCTGAGATGTAGAGGGGTCCGGGTATACTCAGGCAGGAATCGCAAAAGGTCAGCATGCCGGTCCAATAAATAATAAGGGAAGTTAATAGAGTGCTATAATTTATCACGAGGGCAACTGTATACAAGTAGGGAGATTATGCGTCAGTTATATTGGGCACTTGGAGACCGCATCTGACCCCAACCTTGTACAATATTAGCTACCTTAGTTAAGGACGGATGTAAACATGGTGGAAGTCATTCAATAAAGGTTTACTAGAACTAATACTTGAAATAGGGATGGGTTGACTTAGGAGGAAAGGTTGGTCAGGCTAGATGTAAATCAGCTACAGTGCAGAAGTGCAAGGGGCAGCTTAATTGAAACATGTAAGATTCTGAGGGCGTCTTGATAGGGTAGATATGGAGACGATGTTATAGGAGAATACAGAATGAGATATCACTATTTAAAAATCAGGGGTTACCCATTTAAAGTAGCGATCAAGGGACATTTTTCTCTCAGAGAGTTCTAAGTCTTTGGAACTTTGTGGCTAAAAAGGTAGAAGCTGAGTTGTTAAATATTTTAAATTTATTGAGGAAGATAGATTCTTGTTAAGGGGGTGAAAGGTTATCAAGACAGTGGGGAATGTGGCTGTGAGGTTACAATCTGATCATGATCATATCGAATGGTAGAGGAGGTTCAAGGGCTGAACGGATGACTCTTGCATCTGATTCATATGTTTGTATGTTAACAAAATTGTTCATTCCATAGTTGCACTCACTGAAGCAAGGTTTAAAAAAAAGTCAGAATATTATATGTCACATTGACAATGAAGTGAATATTTCGTTGAGACTACTTGTGGAATGTTTAGTCCGGTGTTCAAGATAGAATTCTGAAGTCATGGGAAATAATGTACAGCAAAGCAAGTAAGTAATTAAATCTATTTTTAACTGGAAAACCTCAATGCTGCATGCAGGAAAAAAATATGATGTTTATAAATAATCCAAAATCACTGGTCTAGAGATTAAAAAAGCACGAAATAATGTTTGTAAAAATAATCCAATTAGAAAAACGTACCTTTATACAAAAGCCATAGTCAGTTGGTGCACTGTATGCTTTTTTGCCAGCCACCAATGAAAACACATTATTGTCTTCAATGTCAGCTAAGAGCTGAAGATGTCTTGGTTCCTGTGTAAGTGACAAGATAAAAAAGTTAGAATTTGCAAATTATTGCCCATATTCACGATAAACCTTTTGAAAAACTAATTCATGGGATGTCGTAAGGCCAGCATTTATTGTCCATAGACCTGGGGAATGTGGTGATGTGCCACCTCTTGAATTGTTGCAGTCCTAGTGTTGTAGCAACACCAATAGTTCTATTAGGGGCAGAGTCCACAACTTTCACCATGAGAGATCTATCCAAGGCAGGATGTAACGTGGAAGAGTTTTTGCAAGTAGCAAATTTCTAATGCATTTGTGGCTCTTGTCCATCTAAATGGCAGAGGTCACAATTTTGAACACACTGTCAAAGAAGCCTTGGCGAATTGCTGCAGTGCATTTTGTAGATGATAGAGATGGCTGCTGTCTGCCAGTGGTGAATGGGATTTTGATCAAACAGGTTGTTTTGTCCTTAATGGTGTTGAACCTGAGTGTTTCTGAAGCTGTGCTAATCCAGGCATAGCATTCCATCATATTCCTGACTTGAATCCTGTAGTTGTAACCAGGCTTTGGAAGTCAAGACATAGCTAATTTAAGACAGAATTCTCAATCTCTGACCTTTCCTTGTTGCCATAGTACTTATATGGTTGGTCCAAAAATGTTTTGGCTTGACAGCGTCTCTCCACCATGTTGATTAGGCGGTATTCAGCAGTGTGGATAGCTTTAGCCCAGAACCATTCACAACCGGCCTTATACTGAAGCAGTCCACAGTCAAATGCAAGACTGGAAATCGGCATATAGCACAGATAGCAGAGATGTTCTCCAGTATTTCCTTTCAACTAGCAATGTGTTGTTTACAGATTGTTAGGTGATCCTTTGTCTATATAGTAGCAATGCTAGAGTGTCGACAGTATTGATACTTAGACTGCATCATTCTGAATAAGTTATAAAGCATGATAAAATCAAGCACCTTCTCTTTATGACCGCAGATATTATTGGTAGCTTCTAAATGTGTGGCAAGTCACCACACAGATAGTACTCCTAGTGAGAAGACAAGTAGGAAATATACTGTAAACACTAATGTTACGAGTCATGCAAGATGCACGGTTTAATGCACACAGTTTTACTTCCAGTTTCAATGGCTCCCCTTCTGTTAAAATTGATTTCTTCAAATGAAGCCAAAACGAGGCAATGAGATAAAGTCATATTGAGTTCACAAGTCAGTGAAACAAGATGACTTGACTCTCGATGAAATGCATGCTCCAAAGATTTTGACTGGTATGATATAATCCAGTACTATTGAGGAAAACAGCAGATATATCACCAGAGGCATAAGACTGCAGCTGTACTTTACTGGCTAGTATAATCCAGTAAACCATGCAGTCTATATATTCCTTGAATCATCCAGTGATTTCTGATCTTTTTCTTATTCTATTCTATGATACAGAATATCATAGCACAGAAGATGACTATTCACAGCCCAGAGTCTGTGGTAGCTCTTATATTTTTTGTTTAACTTTCTCAGTGTGGAAATAAAAGCTATTAAGTAACCTCCATGATGAAAATATCCTTTTACAGTTTTAAACACTCTAAACTGTAAAACTTACCTTTGAAGCTCCTTTTGAAGAAAAGTAAAGTCCTGACCGTCGCAAAAACACAGACAGTTTCTTCCAGGACTTTCTTCCCACTTCCCTGACATGCAAAGATCCTTGAATTTCTGGGCAACTGTTAGAATTCAGGAAGTTCTGTAACAAGATTTATAACAGTATTATACTTCAAAAATGAAGATTTTAAAACATTACATTCAAATATTTATGAAACCATATTTGAATCGTAAAGTAAATGCATGCTGCAAGATTTAACAGGCCAGCTGATCTCAGATTACACCGCTCACAGTGAATCAGAAATTGAAGGGCCAGATTCTTACATTAGGGAGGAAGGACCTATACGCATTGGGAAGGGAGACACGAACATCTGAGAGCACTGGAACAGAGTCATTGGGTAGTGCAATGCAATGGAGTTTCACAGACTTGCTCTAACTTAAGGAAACCTGCAATATCCAGAAGCATATGAGTGTCTCAGGACTTGGGATCACCGGAGAGAGGTCTCAAGATATTTATCAGTCAAAAATAATAGCTTTCTTTTTCTATCTAAGGATGCTGTCAAACCAACTGATGGTGCTTAGTGTTTCTGCTTTTGCTTCAGACTTTCAGCATCGATAGTATTTTGCTTTTGCAAAGGGGATTTATAGTATAGGGAACAGAAACCAGTAGTTTTGGAGCTTCTGGGGATAGCAGTACTAAGGATCAGAATTTAACAGCTCTAAGAGGGTGCAGACCACTGTCTCTGATAGATTCAGACTATTTATGATTTGGCATTAAATACGACTGCAATGTGAGCATCTGAACCATACTGTCTCTATCATAATGAGACTGACGAATCTGATGCTTTCTGGATTCTCTTCTACTTTTCATAAATGGCAAGTCATGTAAAATCCTGCCTGTAACTATCCCACATGAGCTTCTGCTCACCGATAACTATTGCTCTTGCTGACCTGTATTGGCTCCTGATCCTTCAAGCTTGAAATGATCAATTCAATCATATGAAATTGAAATTCAATTGGCCATTGGCCAGTTGAACCTTTCTCTGTATTATCTTGCAGCCTCACAAACTCAGTATTTCTATTACTTTCAACATTTGTTCAACAGCTCCCATCCTTCAGATAATATTGGTAGCAGTAACTTCAACTAAGGCCCATGTTTTGGAACTCCTTTTAGATAACTCTGCAGTTATGATAACAGATATGATAACACTGCAGCCTGAAGATTCTGCAGAGTGAAGCTATGAACAATAAGATCCAAGAGGAGTCTGCTCCACCTGTCCATAGCTAAATGTGGGAAAACATGAGGTTATGTACGTTGGCAGAAGTATACAGGAACTGAATATAATTTAAATGGAGAAAAACTGCAGTAAGATATAGAACAGAGGGATTAATGGTTCATCCATGAATCACAAAGAGCTAGCATTCAAGTTCAGTGGGTAATAGGGAAGGCAAATGGAATGTTGCAAAGAGAATCAAATATAAAATTAGAAAGCAAAAACAAAAATGACTGGAGAAATTCAGCAGGTCTGGCAGCATCTGTGGAGAGAAAGCAGAGTCAGCATTTCCAGTGACCCCTCATCAGAACTCTGCTTTCTCTCCACAGATGCTGCTACACCTGCTGAGTTTCTCTAGCAATTTCTGTTTTTTGTTTCAGGTTGCTAGCATTCACAGTTCTTGGTTTTATAAAAGTAGGAATTTATTGCTAAAACTATACAAGGCACTCGTCAGATCAAAGCTGGAATAGTGTGAACAGTTTATCTGAGGAAGTATATAGTGGCATTGGAAGCAATCCAAAGAAGGTTCACTCAGCTGATATCAGATATCAAGAGACTATCTTACGAGGACACGTTGAGCAGTTGGACCTGTTGGAATATAGATGAATTAAAGGCCACTTTATTGAAATATATAAGCTTCTTAGAGGACTTGACAGGGTAGATGCAGAGAGGTTGCTTCCCCTAATCAGAGTCTAGACCTAGAGGGCATCATCTCAGAATAAGGGGTCACTCATTTAAGGCAGAGATGAGGAGGAATTTCTTCTGAGGGTTGTGAACCTGTGGAACTCTTTACCACAGAGATCTGATGATGCTGTGTCATGAAGTATATTTAAGGCTGAGATAAACAGATATTTTAGTCCGTAAGGGAATCAAGGATACTGGAGGCAGGAAAGTAGAGTTGAGGATTATCAGATCAGCCATGATCTCACTAAAAGCAAAGCAGTCTCAATGGACTGAATGGCCTACTTCTGATGGATACTTGTTGGAAATTTCTGCCGAGTTCTTTCTGATTCTTGAAAATCAATCTACACAAGTTCTCCCTTAAGCTCTTTTGGAAATCAAGTCTTTGCACAGAAATTCCTGCTATATCTCACTGTTTCATACAGCCTTAAAATTGTGTAACCAGTTTAGTCTTCTTCCAGATTCTTCAGACTCTTAAAACCAAAGCTGCTGTCATTTTCTCACATCTTATTGATTTACCACAATTTTTTTCAATCTATTTATATATTTTGACTTGATCATCAATTAAAAACATGTACAATTGCATAATCTAAATAGTATTGCGCACAACACATGCTAAAACATAAACCTTCTTACCTGCAAGATCTGTGAATGTGGGCTACTTCCATTTAACCCCTGGCAACAAACCACCATTTGCTCTGGAAAGAAGCTCTGCCCAAACAAATAACACTTTTCAAACATTGGTTAATAGACATGTTTCATTTAAGAGTATACATATTACATCACGTAATCATTGGCTAGATTTAATTAACAAAAATTTAATAAATTTAACTCATAAAAGGTGGCTACCTCTAAACTTAACAGGCTATGAATTCAGTCTCCAAGGATGCTCATGACTAATATTCATTTCAGTAGGACATTTTCAACCAGTGCTAAACTTGACACAAGTTGTTAGTTAATACAAGTGACCATCTTGCAGAGGACATTGCAATCAGCAGAATTGGAAAACAATATCCAATTCTTCATACTTAAATTACACATCTAAATACAATACCTAACAGCATTGATAATTCATGGGCAAAGGAGACACTGCAAAAAAAATCTGCTAGAGCAAAAATTAAAAGCATGTCAAAACAGTTCTGCCATTTTCCTATTCATAGGACTATTGTCACCAGAGAAGTTTGGAACTTTAGTTACAAAATTGCATTCTGACACTTTCATATTAGGATGTTCAATTTTCCCATGAACTTAATATATTTACCCTGATTTTCTATTTTATTATCAAGGCCTTGTTTTTAAACTTCGGCCTTCTCATCAAGATAACTCAAGCTTTTGCTTCCATTCTAAAGGACTTTAAAGCTGCCTGACTTACTGAAGTTCTCCAACATTGAGCATTTGTTTTCAGTTTTGATTCCTTTGTTGTTTTTGGAAATATATGCACATTGTTCCCAAATCATTATAAATCAATTGCTCCATTACTATTTCTTTCTTTAGTATGATCCTACATAATTCCACATTACTTTTAACCGTAAATCTCTTTCTCACCTTTCTGTGAACCTCATTTCAAATTTTTAATATTGTATTTTGGTGCCCAATCACCTGCTAAAATACTTTAAAACATCTTCAGAGTGATATGAGTATTGCTCCTAGTTCCGAGTCAAACCATTTCCATTGATAAAAACCAAAAGAACTGCAGATGTTGTAAATCAGGAACAAAAACAAAGTTGCTGGAAAAGCTCAGCAGACCTGGCAGCATCTGTGGAGGAGAAAACAGAATTAACATTTCGGGTCCGGTGACCCTTCCTCAGAACTGATGGTGGCTGGGAAAAGCTGCAACTCCTTTATCTGCCAATCTGTCTTTCTCTTTGGGCTCTATCCTATCGTTTACTCCCTACCCCACCCACCTCCCTATTTTCTGCATATAAACTGATGTTTTCCCAGCCACCATCAGTTCTGAGGAAAGGTCACCGGACCCGAAGCGTTAACTCTGTTTTCTCCTCCGCAGATGCTGCCAGGTCTGCTGAGCTTTTCCAGCAACTTTGTTTTTGTTCCATTTCCATTGATGTGTGTCTTCGGCCACAAAAGGCCCAATGTCCCTAACAAGAAACTGACCCTCTTGCACTGTATCTCCACCCATCCTTTAACACAACATATCCCCCTATTTCAATATACTAACACATGAACGCAGTAATCCAACAATTACAAGGTTTGACAGCCTCTGAAATGCTCAACTAACCAACTCACTATTGAATACCAGCTTCTATTTCTGACCCCCTATTTCTAACACTCTGTTTTCATCTTTTGTTTCTCATCTTCTGTTTCAGACACACTGTTTCTGACATGAGCAGCTATACCCTCATGGCGCCAGGTTCAGGTTTGAAACCTTTGAGCTGTTGCCATCTTCATCAGTATTTAATGTTGGAAGCTGATTTACATCTACCATACTCTGCAGTTTAATACATTGTTTATCTCTTCTTAACCTTTCTTGTGGCTACCCAAATGCTATTCCTAATTCTTAGTGAAGACAACAAGGAACTATTTTTTAATTCATTTGTAATTGAGAGAATGCTGGCAAGCCTAGATATTGTTGCCCATCCCTAATTACAACTTATTGGTGAACGACCTTCTTGAAGCACTGCAAGTATGTACCGCACATATGCTAAGGAAGGAAATCTTGGAACTTGATCCAATGACAATAAAGGAATGGCACTTTTTTCCACAGAATATCGTACAACTTGGATAGCACTTGCAGGTGAGGTGTTGTTCCCATGTGTTTGCTGTCTTTTCTGCGCGGTAAAGGTGCAGGATTGAAAGATACGACTGATGCAGCTTTGGCAACTTTACAATGCATCTTGTAAATTGTATACATAGCTGCCATTATGTGTCGGCAGTGAAGGAACATTTAACGCGATAATTGGTTGCTAATAAACGGGACGCGTTATCCTCAGAGGTGTCGAATTCTTGACTGGCTTAGTTGTTGTTGGAGTTGCCATATCCAGGCAAACAAAGGGTATTCAGTTGTATGGTTGACATGTGCCCTTGTAGATAGTGAATTATTTTCTTTTGGTGGGGGCATAGGGAGAAGAGAGAGACAGAAATTGAGGGAGTTTGGAAGGGGCAAGACAGGGAAATAGAGGGACACAGAGAGAGAAACAGACAGGAAGAGCTGGGGGCAAGGGGGTGGGGAAGAGCTGGGAAAGAGAGGGGGAAGAGATGGGACGGAAGAGGGGAAAGGTGGGGGAGGGGGGGGGGGGGAGAGAGTGGGGGGGGGCAGGGAGAGAATGGGGAGGCCAGCGGTGGGGGGAGCCCTCAATTGATAAAGGCAGCCCATCTGCCTTTTTCACCACCCTACTAACGTGGCCTTCTGCCTTCAGAGATCTATGGAGAAACACTCCAAGATCACTTTGTTCCACAGAACCTCTGAGTGTCAGGCTATTCATTGACTACTTCCTTGGCAAATGACACCTTCCAAAGTGCATCACCACATACCTTTCAAGGTTAAATTCCATTTGACACTTATCTGCCCATTTGGCCAACCGTTTATATCTTCTAGCAACCCAAGACATCCTCATTATAAACCACCTGACCTATCACTGCATCACCTGCAAACTTATCCAACATTTCCACACAGTTATGTATGTCATTTACATAAATGCCGAATAACATGGGACCGAGTACAGATCCCCATGGTATGCCACTGGACACTGGTTTCCAGTCACTAAAGCAGCCTTGTCATCATCCTCTGTCTCCTACAACAGCCAATTATAATCCACTTCTTGGTAAGTCTCCTATGTGGGACCTCATGAAAGGCTTTGTTGAAATTCATGGGATTTCATGAGAGAGGGAGGCAAAAGGGGAGGGAGGCAAAAGGGGAGGGAGGCAAAAGGGGAGGGAGAGCAAAATAGAGGGGCAAGACAGGTAGAGGTGGATGAGATATTTTAGGTTCCATAAAATAGCTACTTCAACTAGTTACTGCTGTGAAATCTCTACTTGACACAGTTTCTTCTGCTTCACTTGAGAAACACACATTGCTTTCCTTATGATGATGCAAAAATTCTGATGATGTTCTGGCATCCATTCCATTGCACATTTCTCAAGAAACAGACCAATTGTTCGCCCCTGTTCTCATGGCACATATGGTCTTTGGCACCTTTTCTTTTCATTCATTCATTCGTGGAATGTCGGTGTTGCTAGCTGGCCAGCATTTATTGCCTGTCCCTAGTTGCCTTTGAGAAGGTGGTGATGAGTTGCCGTCTTGAACGGCTGCATTCCACCTGTTGTAGGTTGACCCACAATGCCACTGGGGAGAGAATTCCAAGATTTTGGCCCAGCAACAGCAAAGCAACACCAATATATTTCCAAGTCAAGATGGTCAGTGATTGGGATGGGAACTTGGAGGTGGTGGTGCTCTCAGGAATCTGCTACTCTTGTCGCTCTAGATGGAAGTGTTCATGGGTTTGGAAGGTGTTAGGATTTTTGATGAATTTCTACTTTGCATCTTACAGACAGTACACATCGCTGCTTGAGATCAGTGGTGGAGAGGCAGAATGTTTGTGGATGTGGTGCCAATCAAGCGGGCTGCTTTGTCCTGGATGGTGGCAAGCATCTTGAGTCTTATTGTGCACCATCCAGGCAAGTGGGGAGTATTCCATCACACTGCGGACTTGTGCCTTGTAGATGATGGACAGGTTTTAAGGAGTTGGGAGGTCAGTTACACTGCATAGTATTCTCAGCCTCTGACCTGTTCTTGTAGTCACTGTTTATGTGGCAGGTCCAGTTCAGCTTCTGGTCAATGGTAAGCCCAAGGATGTTGATAGTGGGGGATTTAGTGATGGCAACACCATTGAATGTCAAGGGGCGGTGGTTAGATTGTCTCTTATTGGCGATGGTCATAGCCTGGCATTTGTGTTGCGCGAATGTTAACTGATACTTGTCAGCCCAAGCCTGGATACTGTCGAGATCTTGTTGCATTTGGACATGGACTGCTTTATTATCTGAGGAGTCGCGAATGGTGCTGAATATTGTGTAATCATCGGCGAACATCCCCACTTCTGACCTTATGATGAAGGGAAGGTCATTGATAATGTAGCCGAGGATGGTTGGGCCTAGGACACTACCCTGCAGAACTCCTGGAGCTGAGATGACTGATTTCCAACAACCACCACTATCTTAGTTTGTGCCAAGTTTGACTCCAACCCACTGGAAAGTTTGCCCCCTCATGCACCCATTGATTCCAGTTCTGCAAGGGCTCCTTGATGGCACATCTGTTTGAATGTGGCCTTGATGTCGAGGCTGTCACTTTTACCTCACCTATGGAATTTAGAATGGATTCTTCCTCCATTCATTTGAACATCATTTTTCCACCAAGGCTTAATTCCTTTTGTGCTTCCTAGTTATTTGATGAGTTTGCAAATATCATAACTTTTAGTTTGAAATCTGTTTTGCATTTCATTCCTTTTTGAGGGGGATCCATTTCTCTTCATTGGTCGCCATGTGCAATTTGCTTAACGTAGGCAAGTCCTAACTCCTGCAATTCATCTTGGCAAGATGGCTTGTAATAAAAGCTAGACACAATGGTAAACATGCTTATATTTGCTCAAAAAAAAAAAAAGGGGTAGTCAACTTACATACACGATACAGATCTGAACATGTATTTTGGCACCAAAAATATGCTATTGTCTTATACATCTTGAAGTATAGCAAGGTCAGTG